CTTATATGCTGTTTTGTCTTATTACTTACCATTATGACCTCTCCTGGTAAATAATATAGTAAAAAATACTAAAAATATTAATTTTGATAATATTTTATACTTCTTGCCTCAGTGTGAAGGAAGACGCGTCTCTTATTTCCCAGTTTTCATATGTTAAGTAAGAAATCTTGCAGACGCAATTAGAATGGGAGAGTACGTTTAAGTTTTTTTATTGAAAAATACTCCAAACTGTATTCATCTCATGCAATGAGGGGAGCTAGTGAAAGACTCAATTGGTTTTAAGTGGGCATTCCTTAAAAAAGCTTAAAAGTATGGCATTGTTGCACCTGTTTACGTTATCTGAGGAACATTGAACTATAGACTTCGCAATTCCAAATGCTACAAATCTTTGCCAACTGTATATGCTCCAAACCATCTAACAATGCCACGTAGTGACTATATTGTTGACAGGACTTAGTAGTCGAAACGTTTCCGTTTCCCCTCCCCCAGGCTCTGCTCTTCTATCGTTCACTTGCAACTGACCTTGTAGGATTCACAGATTCTCCCCGTCATTACCAGTTCCTCCTCTCTTAACAAACTGCTCTTAAACGTTTTTGTTATTTTTAACTTGTACTCCTTTTTGAATTAGATTAACCGATTGAAAGTATTTTTATTTTTAAGTTCTCTTTCAAACTACGTTCAGTTTGTAATTCTTCAAATTCCTCTTTTTACTTTATTATTTTAATTATTAAATTATAATTAATAATTATTAAATACTTTATTGAAAAGAAGAAAAAAAACTTCTCCTCTCCATATATTATCTCTATTTTAATTGTTTTATTTTTAATGCAATGGGCTTAAAGCTAAAGTAACTTCCCTCTCATATGCAAAGAAGGAGTTACCGGTTACCCATACCAAGGAGCTCCGTCAACCTACAAATCGTCGTCGCATGTCAATATGTTCTAATTACCATAATTTCCATTTACTCCAGAATCCGTTCCACGAACAAAGAAGGAAATAGAACCACTCTGATCAGTACTCATCAGTTGCTGGTTTAAAAGGCACACACCAGACCACTGGGGCTCATCTGGGTGAAACTAGATGTTTGTTGTCTGGTATTTATATTGGTACTTCTGCAGCAAATATTAAAAGTGGTAGATTAAACTACCTGCAAATGTCACCATTTGTAGTGGATGCCCTGACTGTCATTTATTTCTTGCGTGATTTCATGTGTTAAGATTAATTAATTATTAAGCATTAATTATTCAATAGGTAGTTACTGAAATACGGTTTTCATTACTATTCAATTCAAAATGGCCCTGAATGTCCGAGCGGCTACTGCTCTGGCGCTCGGTACCACAGGTTTCGAGTTCGAGACCCGGCGGTGGCATGGATATTTGTAGTGGTTCGGAATCCTTTTTAAGCCGTAGAACCCGGTCTCATATGACTGTTGGGCGCAGAACTGACAACTCTACCCCGTAAAAAAAGAAAAAAACATACCAATAGGTAGACGGCCTTGGCCCACACTGGGCAGTTGAGCCAATGATTATGATGATTTCAATGCAATAAAAATAATATAACATCGGTTCCATAAAAAATTATAACACGTTTTTCAGTTCTAAATGTTGTTTGATTTCAATAACAAGAATAGCGTCATAACATGTGCAAAATCGTAAAAAAAAGAGACATGCTTTCTATTACACAGTTTTAGTAACAAAAAAGTCACGCAATTGGTGCTGACATCGTTTCTCCTGTGTGACATTTATAAATCTTTTCTTAAGTTTTAATGTCTTAAATAATGTATGCACATTTTAATATAACCTTTTTTAATGCATTTTTTTAAAATTTACAGGATTTAAAATAATTTGGTTGGTTGGTGTTTGGATTCCTCGAGCTTTCTAACCTCGAGGGATCTCATCTCTGGTAGAACAAGATATAAACAGTTGACTATTAGATAAGTTGTCCAGAATAATTGAAAAAATACTAAATTAAAATAATCTTCGGTCTATTAATATTATTATTAGGAGCATAAATTTTAATTTTCTGGTTTGCAGAGTTCCCATGGTTATCAGTAGAATTGGGAAACTTTCCAAAAAGTACTTAAGGAAGACTTTAAGTGGCATAAGACCAGACTGGACATGCGTAGGTCATTGTAGAATCGTAGAATAGCTGTAGACAAAATAATATTGTTCCTGCTCATACTAAAGAGTCTACTGATAAGAGGAAAGATTTTTCCAATATTCACACGGCATTTATTTTTCATTATATTCGAAATAGTTTTCACGTGAGTTGCTGTCTAAGTAAATACATAAATATTTTGAAACTATCTTTCCAAGGAATTGTGGTATTTGTTAAGATTAATTAATTATTAAGAATTAATTATTCAATAGGTATTAAGCAATAATTATTAAGCATTAATTACCTTGTAGAAGAGTACGTTATGCTTCAACGTTATTTATTGCAAGAGAAGTAAAAAAAATGTTTTAAATTTATTACATTGTTCCTATTGATGAGAAGTCCCCTCAGATATTTTACATTTTTAGTCTTAAGAACTAATTAAATTTCAATGAATAGAAATATTTCTTGATCCTTGGTCCGCAATGGGGCTGTTGCGCCAATGAAGAAAAACAAGACGATTAAACTTTTCTTGCATCAAATTCAAACTGAAAACTACAAATACAGTTCAATTTAACTACATGCAAGTTTTAAAGATCAATAAACACCTAGACAACCCATGGTATGGGCCTGGGGAATTCCTCATGAGCAATACCGAATCGGAGAGCACCAGAAATACGGAAAATGAATTTCACAGCATCCTGTAGTGTCGTGCAGGTAGATTAAGGACATCGTGAGGTTTGGTTTGGTTTGCCAATGCAAGATGCATTCTATTACACTGTTTCAAAAAATAAAATAAAATTTCATAAACGATACAAATGAGAATAATTTGAAACTGATGTCTAAATGAAGTTTTACATATTATTTTTCTTTTATTTATTAAACCATACTTAAAACTCTAGTACATGACAGAGTACAAATAATAAGATATGATGATAAATTATAGTCAACGTGCTCTCTGTGCTCGGAGCCGCAGATTTCGGTTTCGAGTAACGAATTCCCAAATCCACTTAAAATCATGTAGTTTCCGGTTTAAAATTACATCTTCTTCAATTTAGGCGTTTATCAACTTTCCACGCAATTGGTGCTCAAATTGTTTCTCATGTGTGCCATTTCTAACTTTTTTCTAATTTATTTTAATGCCTCAAATAATGTATGCACATTTTAATATAACCCTTTGTTCATGCATATCTTAAAATGTACTGGATAAATAATATCTTGGTTGGTTGGTGTTTGGATTCCTGGAGCTTTCTAGCCTCGAGGGACCTCATTTCCAGCAACAGGTGAAAAATAAACAAATGACAATGTGATAAATTGCCCAGAATAATTGAAAAAATACTAAACTACAGTATTTTGCGGTCTCTAAGTATTATTATTAGAAGCATGAATTTTAATTTCTTGGATTGCGGATTTCCCGTAATTATCAATAGAAATGAGAAGTTTTCTAGAAAGTGCTAAAGGAAGTCTTCAAGCGGCATAAGACCAGACTGGACGTACGTAGGTAGCTATAGAATCGTAGAATAGCTGTAGACAAAAGAATTTTACTGTTCCTGCTCATGCTAGAGAGTCTACTCATAAGAGGAAAGACTTTTTTAAAACTCACACAGCATTTGTTTTTCATTATACTAGAAATTCTTTTTCCATATGAGGTGCTGTCTAAGTAAACACCTAAATATTTTGAACTTTCTCTCCAAGAAATTATGGTGTCATTAATCTTAGTTTTCTGGTTTTTTTCATTATCTACAAGAAGAGGATATTATGTATGAACGTTATTTATTGCAAGAAAAGTAAACAAAAATTGTAGAAATTTATTACATCGTCCCTATTCATAAAAAGTCCCCTCAGATATTTTACATCTCCATTATTCATTTTTAGTTTTATGAACTAAATAAATTTCGATTAATAGAAATATTTCTTGATCCTTGGCCCGCAATGCGGCTGTTGCGCTAATGAAAAAGAAGAAGACGAATAAACTTTTCTTGCTTAAATTCCATACTGAAAAATAGAAATGCAATTCAATTTAACTATATGCAAGTGATAAAGATCAGTAAACCCATGGTAGGGGACTTGGCAATTCCTCATAAGGGAATCAATAATACCAAAACAGAGAGCACCAGGAATACGGAAAATGAGTGCCACATCATCCTGCAGTGCCGTGTAGGGGGATGAGGGATATCGTGATGCTTGGTTTGGTTTGTCGCTCTATGGTGATTTTTGTACACACAATATACTAATCAGACCAGGACCTACAGTTTAAAGTAGATTCCAAACTAAACAAACACACCTGCCATCACCAGTACCAAAGGCCAGAGAGCTGCTCAGAATTCTATATCACGCGAGTTTTCAGATATATATATAGAATAGGGGTCTATGTTTTGTAATTTATCTTGGTAGCGAAATCAAACAATTTTTATGAGTGAAAAATTATTATTATTTTATGTATTTAAAGGACAATTGTTAAAAGTAATTCAGTTAAAAGAACAAGAGTATATTCAGTACGTAAAAAAGTATTCAGTACATAAACAAGTGTACTACGAAAAAATGTAATATAACATTCCAAGAAAATTTGAACGAGTTTTATTTCAAAACAGATTAAAAGGAACACATGGGTATATATATATACATATATATATATATATATATATATATATATATATATATATATATATATATATACACATATATATATAGAGAGAGAGAGAGAGAGAAAGAGATCAAGGGTCTATGTTTTGTAGTATTATTTGAAGAACAATAGTTAAAAAGTATTCAGCATAAACAAGTGTACAACGAAGAAAATTAATAAGAGGTTCCAAATTAATTTTATAGAGCATTATTACAAAGTAGATTAAAAGAGAGCGCATGGTAGGTAAACATATATCATGTGTTCAACCTCACCATGTCTCCCTCGCCCAGGAGATGGAATCGAACCACTCAGACTCTTATTAGCTACGGGTTTGAAGCCCGCACACCAGACCACTGGCGATCATCTGGGCGATACTAGATGTTTGTTGTCTGGTTTGTTGTCTTCTAGCAAGTGTTAAAAATGGTAGATTAAACTACCTGCAAGTGTCGCCATTTGTAGTTGATGCCATGACTTTCATATCTTTCTTGTGTTTTTTCATGTGTTAAAATGAATTAATTATTAAGCAGTAATTATTCAATCGGTAGTTATTGAAATACGGTTTACATTGCAATAAATATAATATAACATCCGTTCCATAAAAAAATCATAACATGTTTTTCAGGGCTAAATGTTGTTTGATTTCAATACCTAGAATTGCTTCATAACATACGCAAAATGGTATAAAAAAGAGACATGCATTCTATTCCACTGTTTTAGAAAATAAAATAAAATTACAAAAATCGGTGTAAATGACAATAATTTTGAACTGATAGCTAAATGCAGTTTCAAATATTGTTTCCGTTATGTATATTAAAGCATGTTTGAATTTCTACTACATGGCACATTATTTATAAAAAGATATGATGATAAATTGTAATCAACGTGATCTCTGTGCTGTGTCACAGGTTTCGGGTTCAAGAACCAGCGTAGCCATGTATGTTTTAATGATTTCTAAATCCAATTTAAACTGTC